TCCCTTCACCCACTTTTCTGTTGCCCATCCCCCAGGGAGGAGGTCACACGTAGATCCTTGTCATCGGTTCCCTCTTTCCAACCCACTCTCCCTCTGTCCGTTTTTAAAAGCCACTCCAATCACTATCAAGGTTTGCAGGATAAGGAATTGAGAGGGTTTGGTTGTTGGTTGTTTTTGTTTTTTTAAGAAACATATTCTGTAAGGGAGTAGAAAGCCTGAACCTGCGGTTAGGGGCCCAACGCACAGCACCTACACCACCAGAGTCCCCTATGCAGTGTTTCTGAGACTCTCGATCTTTAAGGGAGCAGACAGCCTCGTCTTTCCCCTGAGGGGCACCTGGTGGGTTTGAATAGCTGACTTTTTGGTTAGCATTTAGTTAGCCCAGTGCCTAAACCACAGCGACAGACCCCAGGGCTCCTTCGAGAAGACAAGGGGAGGGAGAGAAGTGAGCTTGGACTACTTGTGATCCAGCTCCCTCCCAGTCAGGTGCCTTAGGTCAGCTGGGTCCTCTCGTGGAGGGCACAGCCCCTGGCAGGTGCCCTCTCTGCCCAGCAGCCCTGCCAGGTCCCTGGGTGCTCCCTGCCCTTCAGACTGAGAGCTGACCGAGAGGAAGATTGGCCAACACGCTTCTCGGTAGCTGCGGATGTGTGTATCCCCAGGCCTGCCGTGTGGGTTTGGGGGCTGTGGGTGATGTTCAGTGTGGCCGTGTCCTGACGCCGAGCACCTCGGTGGCTTTCTGAGCAGGGCTCTGTGCATGGCTCCAGGTCAGTGCCACGTGTCTCAGGTTCCTCTCTGTGCTCAGCTTTGTGTGGCCGTGAGTCTGCGACTGTCCCTCTGCCTGACCGCGGGTCTGTCCCCATGCATTGCTGCTCCCAGCAGCACCACCACTTGATCTCTTCCGCACAGCAAGTTTGGACCGAGCTCCTCTATCCTCTGAGGCTGGGGGAGAAGATTCCAGGCCTCCCAGACGCTCACACCTAGGGGGCAATGGAGGTCCCCAAAATAAGGTCGAGGAGCAGGGAGGGTGCTGAAGAACGGCCTTCTGCCTCCGAGTCGACTCCTTATTCCTTCACACACACAGCTGGGCCTCAGCTTCCCCATCCATAGAAGGGGAGGACAGGGCCTGACCTCCCGTCACAATCACCCCCTGCCCACGTACATTGTTATCCCTGGCACCCAGACCCTCCCCTTCAGAAACTGTGCGGGAGCAAATGTGGGTGGTTCTAGGATGCTAGACTGCCTGAGGCAGTCGATAGGATTACAACCCCTCAGGGAGCTGTTGGGAAGCCCAAAGGCGGCCATGGAGGTGGACGTGCTCTGTAAGGCAGCGGGGTGGACATGCAGTGGGGAAGGGAAGCTACATGTAGGCAGCGGGCATTCCTACGTGTCCCACACTGAGGGGTCAGGAGGCAAAGAGGCCCCCTGAATGCAGGGGAACTCCCCACCTTGTCTGGGACCCCTGCAGTCAGCCAATGCTGCCAGCACCATTAACTTCACAGTGCATGCAGCAGCAGCAGGTCATGAGCTCAGCTGGGCTTTGGTGTAGTAATTAAATCGCTGCCCAGGGGAGTGAATGGGGGCTGAGAGCAGGGGCGTGAAGAAGCAACGTCAAGGTCCTGAAGGGAACAGCAGAGCAGGGGGCATAGGAGGCCCCAGCGTCCTCCCTGACTGAACCTGGTACATCTTTTTTTTTTAA